GACAATGATTTGGTAGACCAGTTCCAACTGATGTGACAGTTGTACGTCTGGTTAGGGCGGCTAGGTATTTAAACGTGAGGACACACAGTCCCGGACACCCAGTTCTGAACACGCAGCTCAGGACACTTAGTCCTCACCGTATTCCCCTTGAGCTAAGGTCACATAGACCTCGCCCAATCACTCGTGGTAAGTCTTCAGGTGACTTTCAAACCTTCACAGACTCGGTCACTCGGAGATCCATAATTTCCTCTTGGATGCTCTAGACCATGACGCCTAACCGTCTGGAAGATGCACAGTCTTCAAAGGTAACAAGCGTCGGATCCACGCAGGATCAATCTCTTCAGTGATGCTCAATCACTTTGGGTTTGTAGGTGTTTGGGTTTGGGTTTTCCTCACTTGATGATTTTCACTCAAAGTCCCTGGAGGATGGGATGCTCTCAAATGACAAGTGTCAGTTTCTCTCGGAGCAGCCAACCAGCTAGTGGTTGTAGGGGCGGCTATTTATAGCCTAGGGAGCAGCCCGACATGATAAGACATAAATGCTCTTCAATGATATGACCTTTAGGTGGGTAGATATTTTGGGACAGCTGGCGCATAGCACATCAACGGGCGGAATTATGAGTACCAAATTCCTCAGGGCTATCATGTTCCTCACTGTGTAGGCAATCCACACTGGCGAATTTCTAACTCCTTAGTCAGAACAAATTCCTCAGAGACTAGAAGAACTTCGTCTCTGTCACTGAAGAAATTTACTGAGCTGTATGAGTTCCAATGGCTTCACTCGAAGGGATTGGTAGGTGTAGGATTTGAGTTGAGCATCACTTGGAAATTTTTCTTTAGAATTTTCTCGACCCCCTTTAATAGTAGGTGTTTCCTATGACTCAAGAAAGAGAAAAGGAAACCACGAAAACAAAATTCTTCATGCTTCATGTTCCTCGAATGAATACCAAGTCTTCAGGATCACACCAATTTCTTCACTTTCAAAGTCTTCAGAAATTCAAAGTCTTCAGTTGAAAAACTTCATTTTTAGGGGTCGACTTTCTCTGTAAATATCAAACTCCTCATAGACTTATAGACATGTGTACACTCACAAATGCATCAGTCCCTTAACCTATAAGTCTTTAATACACCAAAATCACTAAGGGGCACTAGATGCACTTACAGGGTGCTTGGTGTTGGATTGGTCTGGAAGGCTGAATATGACTAGCTTTTTGGTGTCGGTTCATCTTGTAGAAATGGACGTTGTGTCCACGACAGACTTTCTAAGCATTTCCTAGAGCCGCATGAATTCTGTCAAAGGAGCCATTGCGGAAGGAAAAGACGTGCAGACAGCCTTCACAAAGAAAATGTGTACTAAAAACATGAATTTGGTGGGAAAATACGCCCCTTTGAAGCCTTGATCATCCTTTGATTGCTAGTGCAACGTTGTGGCATAATCATGTATTTCGGTTTTGTTGTTTTTTGTGTTCTTTCTTTGGCAAAATGTAGTATCCCTTTTTTGGGGAATGTCATCATGGCTAGCTTTATTGATTTGGCAATATCATTACATCGTTCACAAGAGCGTTTACAAGAATATCTGGGGTTTCCTCAACCCAATTACTAGATACATCATTATCATATGAATGTTTGGCTAAGAGGTGGGCAACACCATTTGCTTTCCATTGACAGTGCACAAACTCCACATTCCCGATCATACTTGCTAAGACAAAGCAGTCTGCAAAAATAGTTGTAGATTCACTCCATATCCTCTCCTGGCCTGAGCATGCATTAACAACTTGAAAGGCATCAGCTTCAATATGAATTGAGGTATATCCCAATGACTCCGCCAACTGAAGGCCATTTTTCATTGCCATTGTTTCCGCCATGTTAGCATCTATCACATGCGGGATTAGCGTACATGATGCCGCAATGAACGAACCATGGCTATCTCTGATCACAACGTCTGTTGCTCCTTTTCCTTCATTCTCATGGAAAGATGCATCCACATTTATCTTGACTATTCCTGAAGGTAGTTTTTTCCAACATTGCTCTCCACGTGTAGTCCCATACGTGCTTGAAGAAGCTCTCTGAAAATTGGCGCAAATCGCCTGGACTGCAATAGCATTTCTTCTCATTGGGGGTACTGTCTCATTATGTGTTTGCCTTCTTAATTATGAGCCACCATAGATACCAGCATGTTGTAATAATCCCTTCGCTTATCCCAATGGTCGGCATGTGTGGTAACTTTGAAGGCGGGAGCCGCAGTATGTACTCAAGAACAGCGGAGCCTGATCGATCCACAAGACGGGCTTCTGCTATTGTGTCAGAAATTCCCAGTAACCTCCACATTTCCACCCGCTCTACCACAACTAAATAAGAGATGATGGATGTCTTCAGCCCCTTGATGGCAAATCGGACAACTTCATCAGTACCAACGTGCCTGTTTGCCAAGATTGATTTTAATGGGATTAATCCATGAAGGGCCCTCCAGCTGAATATTTTCACTTTTCCCGGGACTTTGAGCTTCCATAGGATTGTCCAAACTGGATTTGGCATTGATGGTCCTATTATTGCCGACAAAGATCTTGAGGTGAACTGATGTTTCCATTCATAATGGTATGCCGATCTTACCGAAAAAATTCCATTACTGTTGCCATGCCAGGCTACAAAAATCGTCAAATCCGTGGTGGCTTAAGGGAATTTGTAGGATCCGGCCAACATCCACTGGGTTGAATATCCCACATATTAAATCCTCGTCCCACTGCTCGATAACTGGATCAATAAGTTCATTGACTTTAGTAATTATAGCACCACCCCTAGGGCGTAATAATTTGTATAGTGGGGCTCAAGGGAATCCAATGGTCCTCCCAAATATTGATCTTTTCCCCAGTGCCAATCCTCCATATGTGCCCATGCTTGAAAGTCTGAATACCCGCTACTAAGCTCTGCCAAGTAAAGGAAGATCCTTTGTTGGGCCCTACTTTTAAAATATCACTAGAGGGGTAGTATTTTGCTCTCAGTACCCTTGCACAAAGGGATTCAGGTTCATCAATCAGCCACCATACTTGCTTAGCTAACATTGCCAAGTTGGAAGAGTGGAGATCATGAAAGCCCATTCCTCCATCTTTTTCAGGGATATATAATTTCCACCATGCCCACTAGTGCATTCTCTTACTATTCTCATCATCTGCCCACCGGAATTTTGCTATAACATCTTTGATATCCTTGCAAATGCCTTTAGGGAGCTTAAAAACTCACATTGCAAAAACTTTGACGACATGTATTATCCCTTAGTCTAGTAAGGTTTTCGATCCGTTTTTCTTTATAAACTAGATCAAACTTTAACACCATGTAATGTTTTCCTCCTTGCTCCTCCCATGAGAAACTCCCACGCTAGGGCTCCCACTTACGCCGTTCTTGATCTGCCTTGTCTCATGTGGGCCTTCGGGCCATGGAGGTTCGATGGGAAGGCTCCTGCTTAGTTTTTTAGGTGTTTTTTATTAAAGTTTATGTCTTGTTCAGAAAGATGAGATGGCGGCAACTCTCTGAATATGGAATAATATTCTTCCCGCCCAGTCCCTGCCTCGATGGTGTGTCTAGCATCGTTGGAGGGCGTGTGGAGGTGTATCTCCGGCTGATTTCGCGGGACTCGATCGGTGTTTGTTTTCAGTGGATCTGCTTGGTTTTAGTCTTCATTTGTGTCCGTACAAGTTTGATCCTTTTGATGTACACTTCTCTTCATCGACGATGGCTGCTGTTCCGGCGTGTTGATCCTTTGGGGCCTTAACATGATGACTCCATGATTGTTTACTATAATAAGGTTTGCCCGGCTCCGGTGAGGCAGGGGCGATGACAATGGTGTGCATTCGGCTGCCTACAGTGCTTGTAGTTGTCGCTAGGTGGTCTATAAACATATATGCAAATTTTATTTCTTATTTTTTTAACGTTTTTTTGATATATTCATCAACTGTCATGGTAGTACAAAGAACACCAGAAGTAAAAAAATATATCTAGGTTCGCAGGCCACCTAGCGACGACCACACGCACTGGAGCGAGCCGAAGGCGCGCCACCGTCATCGCCCTTCCCTCATCGGAGTCGAGCAAGTCTTGCTGCAGTATAGACAGTTGAAAAGTCGTCGTGCTAAGGCCCCATAGGACCAACGCACTAGAACAACAAACGCCGTCAATGAAGAAAAGCGCAGAACGGAAGGATCCAATTCGTAGGCACACGAACACAAACGATTAAATACTGAATCCACGTGGATCCACCGAAGACGAACGCCGACCGGATCCCATGAGATTCGTCCGAGACGAACCTCCAACACGCACTCTGACGATGCTAGAAACACCACCGAAACAAGGGTCAGGCCACATAAAGCCGCCGCCTCGCATCTCTGAGCAGGACATAAACTCTAACAAAAGTAAAAAGAACATAAAAAAGAAGCCCTCCCTCCAACAAGAGTTGGATCCATCGCGCCTCCATGGTCTAAGACCACAGGAGACGAGGTAGACCGACGGCGGCGTCGGTGGGAGGCAGGAGAAATCCTAGCACGCTGGGTGCAGGTACTAATGGCCGCCGTGTGCCGTGGTCTTCTTTCTGTTTTATTTCCTTATATTCTTTTGTATTGCCACGATGCTTGATGAATGTAGATTGGAAATTTTTGAGAAAAATACCTAGATCAAACTTATTAGAAAAAATCACATCCAAGTCCCGTAGCCGTTTCAAAAAAGACACACAAGTTTTCCTTTCTTGCTCAAATTGCCCCTTCATCAAAATTGCTCAAATTTACTTCAAGTTTAAATCGACGAGGAGCGAAATCCATCCGGATCTGACGTCGTCACGCAAACCCGCGGCTAGTCCCGAGCTTCCGACCGTTCCCGTCGATCTCTATCGTTCTTTTCTTTCTTCCGCCTCCATCAATCAAAAAGTAAAAATAAATAGCAATTCTTCGTTTTCTTTCTTTTCCAAGATCAATCCTTCATTCTCTTTTAAGGAACCACACTTGCGAACCCTAGTTCGAATGTTGGATACAAAATTCGGTTTCCCTCCCTCCTCCCCCGCAGCCGCGCCCCCATCCCGAGCCCCGGCCACAGGCGCAGCGCCGAATCTCAAGCGGAGGAGGCGAGAGGGCGAGGGCGACGCCGGCGCCGACGCGGACATGAGAGAGGAGGCGGTGGAGCGGCTGCGCGGGGTGGTGCGGGACAGCGTCGGGAAACACCTCTACACGTCCGCCATCTTCCTCGCGGACAAGGTGGCCGCGGCCACGGGCGACCCCGCCGACGTCTACATGCTCGCGCAGGCGCTCTTCCTCGGCCGCCACTTCCGCCGCGCGCTCCACGTGCTCAACAACTCCCGCCTCCTCCGCGACCTGCGCTTCCGGTTCCTCGCCGCCAAGTGCCTCGTGAGCTCCACTCGCCACTCCCCCTCCTCCTCCCCCTTTCTTTTTCCGCTCCCGCATTTCGTCGAACGCGTCGCGTGCGTCCCGATTAAATCCAGTTTCCCCTTCCCCTGTTTCCTTTTTCTTTTAAGGATGGGCGTGTCCGCGCGTTCGGGCTTTCTTGCCCGTAGTTTGTTTGACCTGAAATTCTGTCAGGCGCCACTAGGTAGTTTTTCGGTCTAATATCTCGCGGGCCTTTTCAAGCATTCTGTAAAATTCGCTTGTTCTGCTTTCTGCAGGAGGTGTTTTGAGTCTGATTTGGCATTTTGTTACACAGGTGCTCCCCTAGTGGCTACATCTAGTGGTTTTGTTTCTGGCTTGTATAGAATCCCTAATGTGTTTTTAACTCTTGATTGAGTTGATCTTTCTCCCTGCAGCTTAGGATGGAAATTGGATTCCCTATGGGGAAAGGATCGAAATACCTCCTTGTAATTAGTCATTCAGTCTGATTTATTTCTCCAAATCCTGGCACCATGAATGCACTTAAGCTTCACGATCTTGTAAAACATTGTCTAATTCATGATTTATAAACAATGCTTTATGAGTGTTATAGAAAGATAGATTCTTTCGATGTTTCTTTTTTCCCTATCGTTTTAGTTTATTAACTTAGTGACATGATTTGCATTTTATGTTCTCATCTGCTGTATGGCTCACATTTTCTTTATTGGTCAGGAGGAATTGAAAGAATGGCACCAGTGTCTGATGATGCTTGGTGATGCCAAAGTTGACGAACATGGCAATGTTCTTGATCAGGATGATGGCAGTGACATCTATTTTGATAAGGACGCAGAAGATCACGAGATCAATGTGTGACTTCTCTTCTATTTCTCTCTGAATAATTGCTTTCACGGTTTCTTATTATTTTGACTCGTGCTTTTCCAGATCAAATCAGCTATATGTTTCTTACGCGGCAAGGCGTATGAAGCACTGGATAATCGTGATCTTGCTCGGCAATGGTGAATTCAGCAACTTCCATTTTCCCCCCTTACATTAAACTGCCTGTGTATATTCCAAAACAGTATTACCAGCTTCAGTGTGTTCAGCGTTATTGCCGATTCATTTCTTTCAAGTTTTTCTTTTTCGTGCACCTTTTAAGTTGAGTGATAGTTTGGTTAAGCAGATGTGGTGACTCTGTCTGCTGTTCTGTCAGGTACAAGGCAGCAGTTAAAGTTGATCCGTTATGTTATGAGGTGAGAAGAATCATCTGACTCCATAAAGATAAGATATTCTGATGCTTGTTAGCTTTGTTGATTAAATGAATTGTCCCTTATAATTAATACCACATAAGAAAAATACCTGTACCTTAATTGTATTTGAATGCCAAATTCTATATCTACGAGTACATGCCATGAACCTGATTTTTTTAACCATTCTATTGGTTTTGCACTTGCCTTAACATGTCTAGTTGGGTATCTGAACCTTCTTATGGGCTTGATGCGCTGAGTCAGCTATGGCCCTAGGGACGATGCACTTTCTAGCATTGCAAATAAAATGCCGTAGGACAATACCCAACCTTTTATGCCCTGAAGCTGATTTCAGAATATCATGGATGTGGGTCATAGTTGTATAATTCTGCTACTTGTTGTCGTGAATGATAACAAAATAATTCTGTTACATCCTAATCTGTTATTGATCTTCCCAGCAGCGGAAAACACCATTAATCATCCATTGAAATTTGGTGTTTTATGTTATTTTCATTTGGTATGATCCTAACTGTTTTGTAATATACTTGTCAGGCTCTCGAATGCCTTGTTGATAACTACATGTTAACGTGCGAGGAAGGTAAGCTTTGAAAGTTCAAATCAGCCTTTTCATTCTTGTTTTGGGGTCTATCTTGAGGTTTGCTTATATCATGCATTGCATGCTATAGTTATGTCTTGCATTCTTTGCAAATAAGTAGTGCATTTGTTGTAATATTTGCTTATGTTGTGAATGCCAGTTTTATGTCTTGCATCGCTTTTCAAATATGGACTGCATTCATTTGGTATTTGCTTGCATTATTTTTTCTTTTGTTAAAGTTGTGCACTCAGTTATTTTTTCTTTTGTTAAAGTTGTGCACTCAGTGCTCTCATCATTGTAAGTATGTATGGGCTGGAAAATGCCGGATATGTATTAACTAGATAAGCTTGACAAAATCGGTCCATTCTTCTGTCTGTTAAGTGTCAAGTGCATCCTTTGGGATATGTCTGTTGATCATCTTATGTCTACTGTTATCATTTGGCTAGTTTATAGAAGAAATTTTTTTACCTGCAATTTCCTCTTTAGTTCTCACCTTATTGAACCCAAAGTATGATGCTGCACTATATTTCAGAATCTGAGTTATTGGCCTCTCTGAAATTCGGGAAAGAAGACGGGTGGCTGTCAGCATTCTACTCATGTTTGATTAGGAAGGTACTCAGCTGAATAATTATACCATGCTATACATTGCACCTGAATATACAACTAATCTTCTACCTCTTTATTGACATTTTTGTTGGTCTTGGTTTCTTTTACTGCCTTTTAGCATGAAAAAGAATATGTAGTGGAAGCAAAATTCAAGGAACTCGAACGCGAATCTTGCAGTATTTCTTCAAGTTCTGGTCAAATGATGAAAAATAACATCGATGTTTTGGCTTGCAAAGCTGAATACTATCATCAGAGTGGAGAATACCAAAAATGTTTTGAGCTCACATCTGTGTAAGTTGGTAACATTCCTGTTTCATTTTGTTTCCTCGACTAACGTTGATTTAACATTCTTATGATAATGTTTCTCTCAGTTTACTTGAAAGGGATCCGTTTCATTTAAAATGCACATTAGTGCATTTGGCTGCTGCTATGGAGCTTGGGCATTCCAATGATCTTTATCTCTTGTCATGCAATTTAGTGAAGGACTATCCTCAAAAGTGAGTATCTACCTTAATAATTGACCGAGCAATTATATATGATAATTTGTAATTTTTTCTACATGATCCCATAAGACAAACTCAGCAGTTCATTTGTGTATCAAACAGTTTGAGCCATATAATGACATTCTTATACAATATATGCATCTTCCTACAATCTACAGTATCTCAAACAACAAGATATATTATACTGGCAGCTTGTAGTCAACCATGTGTAAAGCATATATTTCTAATTTGTTTTCTGAACCATCTGCAGAGCTATTTCCTGGTTTGCTGTGGGGTGCTATTACTACTGCATTAAGAAGTATGATCAAGCAAGGAGATACTTTGGGTAAGCATATTGTCCTGTAAAGTTGTCATCACTGTCTTCATTTGAAGCTTTGTTATTCTTCATTTTTTTCACTCCGCACTCTTAGTGTGGAAACATGATACTAATTGCTATTTTTTATGTCTGGAAGAACTCTGGCACTTTCTTTGTTCTTTCTCTTGTGTTTCTTGATTAGAAGAATAGACATAATGCTCCCATTTCTTCAGATAATTCAGGATATGTTTTGGGATATTCAATTGTGCCCTCAAAGTTACCAAATGTACTCTACACTAATATATGTGTTTCCTATCAGCAAAGCTACAGGGTTAGATGGCACATTCCCTCCTGCTTGGTTTGGTACTGGTATTGCTTATGCTGCTCAAGAGGAGGGTGACCAGGCAATGGCTGCATTTAGGACAGCAGCTAGACTATTTCCTGGGTCAGTAACCCCTTTATTTTATTTGACATTCCAAAGTAACTGCTGATCTAAAGATCAAGTATTTCCCCCCTCTTATTCTGCTGTACTCCATGGAAGAATATTATTCTACTTTAGTTGACATCTGTATACTTCGTGTCAACCTTGGCCTCGGCTAGGCAACGTGCCACCATTTATCTCATAGGAGTACAATACAAGTAGTGATTATTCACACAGTTCATCTTGTATTTTGAGTATTCAACTCCAGACCGTGTTGAACTTCTCTCATCTCTTCAATTATGTCATGGATGTTTTTGTCTTTTTTATTCTGAAATCATGAAAAAAATTGCGGCACATGTGACAAGCTCTTCTATATTTATTAATCACAATGCTATCTAGATATTGATTATGAGAATTGTTCATTAGTTCCTACCTTTTATTTTGGGGTATAAGAGCATCTGCATCCCTACTTCCCTAGACACTAGAAAACACTAGAAGTGAGAGAAATTGGCTATCACTAATGCTAAAGGATGTGATAGATGCTAAGATAAAAACCTTAGCGCCATCACTACGCTTGGCACCTAATGCTAAATATAATTTATGAATTGTTATCTGACTCCTTAGGACCTATATAGGTGGTGCTAAGGAATGTGGCTAGAGAAGCTAGGAGAGGTAAATAGAGCGAAAGCTAATTTGTCTGCTTTAGAGTCTAACTTATAGGCACTAGTATGCAGGTCCTCTATGTATCTCTTATTTTGCTTAGTAATCTACACTGTACTTGTTTTTGTAGCTTTCATCTTACTACTTTCATTTTAATTTACATTTCAGATGTCATCTCCCTACTTTATACATGGGTATGCAATACGTGCGGATGCATAATTTCAAACTTGCGGAGCAGGTATACTTGAGGTTGCTTAGTAGTTTAAATTTGCTTGCAAAACTCTATTGTAACTGAGGAACACACCTTGAGCTAGCGTTTCTTCTCATTTACATTTGATACTTCCATAGTTTCACGGAAACTGTATGGTTTAATGCCGATAATGGAAAAATACATTTAGGCAAATGGAGATCCAAAATACATTTAAGCAAATGGAGATCCAAATGCTGATAGCTGTTGGTCAAATACATCAATGTGGATTCTTGGCATGCTGACATTAAGTGAGCGATCATATTGTTCAAGGAAGTGATACTTGTTGTAGCTCATGGTGAGATCATATGTAGTGCACCGACCAAACTTGTGCACTGGGCCCACCTGTGATTCTTCACCTGTTGTATTGCATGAAACTCAACCTGCCGTCCACTTCATCTCAATTTCGTCTAAGTTCTAGATGAAACTTAGATAAGTTGGACCGTGGATCCTGTTAGATTAAATACAAGGTTTCTTTTGCAAGTATGATGACAACCAAATCCCAACAAGATAGACAGCTGGTTGATTTTGATAAGAAAGTTCTTGTTGCAAAAATGGCAGCAGCCAACGGATCCTGTTCATCTTTTCTGAATCCAATGGATTGAGAGTCAACGGGTGTACTCTGTGCACCAGTTGGCTTGCTGCACTTGAGATGTCCTTGTCACGATGAGAACTATATTTGTAGTGTTAGAACCAGACCTGAGATGGAGGCAGAGAGGGTGAGCTGAACATGAGTGTTATTTTCTGAAGCTGTAGCTTCTTCAGCATGCATATAGGCACATAAATATAGTACATAGATTAGTTGGTTTATGAACCGGCTTTCTCCCCTAGCTGCTATTTCTAGAGTAACTAGTATTTGCATTATTTTCTAGCGGAACTATTTACTTAAACTTATAACATTTAAACATGGGAAAACATCAGTTGGGAACCCAAATGGAGGGCAACCTACATTGAAATGTATGGAATTTTAAAACATTTATCATTGTCTATAGATATAGGAGAGGCCGTATTCTATTTCCAGGCAAATTTCAAGATCAAGATCAATCACATTCGAAAGCTAGAAAGAAGATTTTTTATTTGGATGAGTACTGATTCATCCTTTTTCTTGCACTAGACCTTTTTCATATCTTCTACTGCCTCTGTCCCGAATTACTTGTCGTAGAAATGGATGTATCTAGAACTAAAAATACATCTAGATACATCCATTTCTGCGACAAGTAATTCGGGATGGAGGGAGTACTTCCTTCCGTTCACTATTATAAGATGTTTTGGATATTTCAATATGACTACATACGGATTGAAATGAGTGAACAAACACACTAAACGTGTCTACATACATCCGTTTTAGAAAAAAGTTAAAACATCGTATAACAGTGAACGAAGGGAGTGCATATGATGAGCTTGACTTGAAAATTTTATATGGCTATATGGATGCTCCTTTGCGGTCCTGTTATCTACATTTTTTCATAACATTCGCACATGGTTTCCACAAAGTTTACACTCAAGGTGGGTTCCTTATGATACTTACCCGATCTTGCAAAGTATCTGTCCTGCTGGCTACTAAATACTCCCTCCGCCCCAAATTACTTGTCGCAAAAATGGATGTATCTAGAAGTAAAATACGTCTAGACACATCCATTTCTCCGACAACTAATTCCGGACGGAGGGAGTATAATGTCCTCATAAATGCAGTGAGTTCATGCCCAAAATTTTTAGCAAGTTGAATTCGAATCAGGTGGATATTGAACCGGGAAATTGAGGAATCTCTATGTATTTGATTTTTTCTCGTCTCTCGAGCTTCTTTCATTTCAGCAGCTCTGCCAGTTTATAACTCCTAAGTTGACTTCTAAGATCTGAAATTCTTGTAGTCGACAAAGGATGCTGTTACTTCGATGGCACCATTTACTGCCACCACTAGCTTGCAGTTACCTTATAAGCTCATTTGCAATAAGCAAAGTTTTTTTGGTTGCCATTTCTTATTGATTCAGTTTGGTTTCTGTGCTGCAGTTCTTCATGCAAGCGAAGTCCATTTGTCCATCGGATCCACTTATATATAACGAGCTGGGTGTTGTAGCTTATAATATGAAAGAGTAAGAGCACTTCTCTGTTCTGAAGGCCTTTCTTATTCTAGTATGATGTACCCACCAAATACTTCACTTTAACTCTATACAGTTCGCCCCAAGAACAACTTCCCTAACGTCTGGCTAAAAGCTTATACAAAAATGTCATGTTAAGGCAGTCGAAAAAATTGCATTCATCACGGAGCTCCGGGACATCGTGAAATACACCAAACTAGAAGTTGTTAAAGTCTCAATGATGTTGCCCATGATGTAGATATTGCTTTTTTAAGTAGGCCATTGAAATTTTGAACACTTTTACGTGCATTTTGAACAAAATTCTTGATTTGGCATGGAGTCTTATGTGCAGAGCATGTTTGAAGTGGGGCAACCCCACAGCTCGCGCATGCACACATTTAGATTTAAGATCATACACATGGTCTGTGACGAATATTGTTTTCCTTTTTCTCATGCACTTCTCCATTCAACAGGCTTATGATATTTCATCTTGTTGGATAGAAAGTAACAAAGTAATTTCAGATATTTTTATGTGTTTTTTGCTCTTTAGACTTGATAATGTTATCTGTTCCATGTTTAGGTATCAAAATGCAGTTCAGTGGTTTGAGTTAACCCTGACTCATACTTCATCGTCCTCGAATGAAATGTGGGAACCAACAATGGTGAATCTTGGACACGCACTGCGAAAACTGAAGTAAGTGAAGACGCTGCATCCCATTGTTATGTTTTAGTCTATAAATCCACTGGCTTTTAACCTGTTTATGCTAGCTGAACTAGAGACTTGCCAAGACCAATCTCATTTACATGCTTCATTGATCATTGCCATTATATGCTAGTGAACAGAAAAATGCAAGGACATATAAAATGAAGTGTTGTATTTAGTTGACACATCAGCAGTTGCTCTGTGAACTTCTTAGGGTCTCTTTGGAAGGCAGGATTGAGAAACACATGAATAGGAAAAATATAGGAACCTGACAGGGTTGGCAGTGTAGAACAGAGGATTATAAAACATAAAAAAACTACATGAATAGTCGTTTCAATGAACTCAGGAAAAACGTCTCGATCCTAAGCGGTTGAGTCTTAAAAAGAGGTTGGAGTGGATGTTCAAATCCCTATGGAATTGAGGCATAGGAATCCATTCCATAAGAATTTGGGTGTCATCATTCCTTTGATCCAAAGGCAATCAGTAGGAAAAATTCTAAGGGATTGGAATCCCATAAAGTTCCTACAAAATTCGTACAATCTAAAGAGGGCCTTGTCGTCTACAAAATAAATTAGAAAAATATTTTTGGAACTATTACTTGACTATGCATGAGTGCTTTTAATTCTGTGGTATTGTTGTAGAGCCAAAATGAAGTTATGAACAACAACAACAACAACAACAACAAAGCCTTTAGTCCCAAACAAGTTGGGGTAGGCTAGAGGTGAAACCCATAAGATCTCGCAACCAACTCATGGCTCTGGCACATGGTTAGCAAGCTTCCACGCACCCCTGTCCATAGCTAGTTCTTTGGTGATACTCCAATCCTTCAGGTCTCTCTTAATGGACTCCTCCCATGTCAAATTCGGTCTACCCCGACCTCTCTGGACATTCTCCGCACGTTTTAGCCGTCCGCTATGCACTGGAGCTTCTGGAGGCCTGCGCTGAATATGCCCAAACCATCTCAGACGATGTTGGACAAGCTTCTCTTCAATTGGTGCTATCCCAACTCTATCTCGTATATCATCATTCCGGACTCGATCCTTCCTCGTGTGGCCACACATCCATCTCAACATACGCATCTCCGCCACACCTAACTGTTGAACATGTTGCCTTTTAGTCGGCCAACACTCAGCGCCATACAACACTGCGGGTCGAACCGCCGTCCTATAGAACTTGCCTTTTAGCTTTTGTGGCACTCTCTTATCACAGAGAATGCCAGAAGCTTGGCGCCACTTCATCCATCCGACTTTGATTCGATGGTTCACATCTTCATCAATACCCCCATCCTCCTGCAGCATTGACCCCAAATATCGAAAGGTGTCCTTTTGAGGCACCACCTGCCCATCAAGGCTAACCTCCTCCTCACATTTAGTAGTACTGAAGCCGCAAATCATGTATTCGGTTTTAGTTCTACTAAGCCTAAACCCTTTCGATTCCAAGGTTTGTCTCCATAACTCAAACTTCCTATTTACCCCCGTTCGACTATCGTCAACTAGCACCACATCATCCGCAAAGAGCATAGACCATGGGTATCTCCTTGTATATCCCTTGTGACCTCATCCATCACCAAGGCAAAAAGATAAGGGCTCAAAGCTGACCCCTGATGCAGTCCTACCTTAATCGGGAAGTCATCAGTGTCGACATCACTTGTTCGAACACTTGTCACAACATTATCGTACATGTCCTTGATGAGGGTAATGTACTTTGCTGGGACTTTGTGTTTCTCCAAGGCCCACCACATGACATTTTGCGGTATCTTATCATAGGCCTTCTCCAAGTCAATGAACACCATATGCAAGTCCTTCTTTTGCTCCCTATATCTCTCCATAAGTTGTCGTACCAAGAAAATGGCTTCCATGGTCGACCTCCCAGGCATGAAACCAAACTGATTTTTGGTCATGCTTGTCATTCTTCTTAAGCGGTGCTCAATGACTCTCTCCCATAGCTTCATTGTATGGCTCATCAGCTTAATTCCACGTTAATTAGTACAACTCTGAACATCCCCCTTGTTCTTGAAGATTGGTACTAATATACTCCGTCTCCATTCTTCTAGCATCTTGTTTGCATGAAAAATGAGGTTGAAAAGCTTGGTTAGCCATACTATTGCTATGTCCCTGAGGCCTTTCCACACCTCAATGGGGATACAATCAGGACCCATTGTTTTGCCTCCTTTCATCCTTTTTAAAGACTCCTTGACCTCAGACTCCTGGATTCGCCACATCAAAGGAGTTGTCCAGTTCAATGGTAGAACTCTCATTCTCCCCATTGAACAACGCGTCGAAGTACTCCCGCCATCTATGCTTAATCTCCTCGTCCTTCACCAAGAGTTGGTCTGCTCCGTCCTTGATGCATTTGACTTGGCCAATATCCCTCGTCTTCCTTTCTCGGATCTTGGCCATCTTATAGATGTCCATTTCGCCTTCCTTCGTGCCTAACCGTTGGTAGAGGTCCTCATACGCTCGACCCCTTGCTTCACTGATAGCTCGCTTTGCGGCCTTCTTCGCCATCTTGTACTTCTCTATGTTGTCTGCACTCCTATCCAGGTATAGGCATCTGAAACAATCTTTCTTATCTTTAATCGCCTTCTGGGCATCATCATTCCACCACCAGGTATCCTTATCTTCGCTTCTTCCCCTGGACACTCCAAACTCCTTCGAGGCCACCTTACAAATGCAAGTCGCCATCTTCATCCACACATTGTCCGCATCCCCTCCTTCCTCCCAAGGGCCCTCCTTAATGACCCTCTCCTTGAAAGCCTGAGCTACCTCCCCCTTGAGCTTCCACCACTTCGTTCTAGCGACTTTGGCTCGCTTATCCCGCTGGACATGAATCCGAAAGTGGAAGTCAGCAACCACCAGCTTATGCTGAGGTACAACACTCTCTCCAAGTATCACCTTACAGTCTAGGCACGCACGCCTATCTTCTCTTCTCGAGAAAATGTAATCAATATGGCTAGAGTGTTGGCCACTACTAAAAGTCACCAGATGTGATTCTCTGTTTCTAAAGAGGGTGTTAGCTACAATCATGTCGTAGGCTAGAGCAAAGCGTAAGACATCTTCTCCTTCTTGATTCCTGATGCCATAGCCAAAGCCCCCATGCAACCCTTCAAAACCTGTGTTAGATGTACCCACGTGGCCATTGAGGTCTCCTCCTATGAAGAGCTTCTTGCCAATCGGTACACTCCTAACCATGTCTTCCAGGCCTTCCCAGAACTCCCTCTTGGTGTTCTCATTGTGGCCTACTTGCGGGGCATACGCGCTGATAACATTGAGAACTAAGTCCCCAACTACCAGCTTGACCAGGATAATCCGGTCCCCACGTCTCTTGACATCTACCACTCCATACTTGAGGCTCTTGTTGATCAAGATGCCTACGCCATTTCTGTTTGCAGCCGTCCCCATGTACCACAGCTTGAAGCTGGTATCCTCCACCTCCTTTGCCTTCTGTCCCCTCCACTTGGTTTCTTGGACGCAAAGGATATCGATGCCTCTCCTCACCGCTGCATCAACTAGCTCCCGAAGCTTCCCCGTCAGAGACCCTACGTTCCAGCTACCTAAGCGAATCCTCCTAGGCTCGGCTAGCTTCCTTACCCTTCGCACTTGTCGAGTCAAATCCGAAGACCCTTGTTCATCATTTTCCACTACATCCGGGCGCCGATGTAGCGCGCCACCGAGGATGCGACGACCCTATCCTCGCTCACTTGCCACCGTATCCGGATCAAGATACGGCACGCCACCAGGGGGGTGACGGCCCGGCCCTTGCCCATTTGACACCACACCCGGGTTCTGATGTGGCGCGTCGTTGAGAGGGTTACGCCCCAACGAAAATCTTTTGGGTTTCATCTCCATAAGAGTGGCTGAGTCTTTTATGTTGGCTCGCCAAGCCTATCGCAACCCTCCTCCTTTACCCGGGCTCGGGACCGTCTATGTTGAAACAACATAGGCGGAGTTAAGTTATCAACCTTATCATAATTTCCTTAATATACAACCCATACATATAACCTAACATATTTTCATATTCTCACATATAGAAGCTTTTCTTTTGGATAAACTAAATCATTGGTATTTTGTTTCTTGTTGTGCATGGATTAGTACAACTAGGATGACTAGTCCTTTTTATTAGCTCTGATCAAAATGTATTAAAAAAAGAGATCATGTTATTTCCCAACTAACACTTGTTTCAACAGGCAATATAAAAAAGCAATATCATATTATGAAAAGGCGCTCACTTTTCCAACAAAAACTCTGAGCGCATTTTCTGGTCTTGCTTATACTTACCAACTTATGGTATTTCCCTGATCCTCTTTAATTTATTGTTTTGTAAAATGTTATTTCTACTGCAATGATATCCTCCTAATTTGTTATTGATAGAACCTGGAAGATGCAGTATGTTATTGATCATATCGCTTTGCTCATGAATAATTGTTTTATATCCATAATTTTGAAACTTGAAAACTTAGGCTCATATGCAGCCATATGGTTCTGTTACAACTGCCTATTTTGCACCAATGTGCGATATAGCTACAGGAACACTGCATTTCCCAAAAAGAACTTTACAGGGATTCAGCGAGTATAGGGTGTTGTAGAGAGGGGAATGAGGGGGCAGCAGTTAATGTTTGTGTCTGGGTTGGGCTTGTGCTGTAATTGGTAGTATCTTTTAAGTTGGCCTATAAATTCGTATTTCCGAGTCGATGATCCTGAGAGTTGATTTTTTATCCAATAGAGATTGAGTAGTTGCGCATTTTGAAGCTGTACAGAACTTGGTCGACTGAGAATTATAAATAGTTATTTCTTGGGTGACTTAGAAATAACAACCTATTCTTTCTAAGTTAAAAAATACCAGGGATACTTTGAGATACATGTACCTCAGTGTACCCCCACTCTTCTCTACTGAGTGCCAATGATTAGATGTAACCGTGGACCAGTCCATCATGACGGGATGCCATTTGTAAGAACTTGAGAATAGTGGGGCACTTGGTTTCAAAAGACCCGGGTGGGTACTGTTTTCAGTCACTATTTTGGCGCAGGCTCATTCTGGTTGTAATTTAAGCTCACTAACAAACTGAAACAATCAGGCAGGAAGGAGTTTAGAGTTACACACAAATATGTGCACTTGTAATTTGAAAGGAAACAGTATTCTTTAAGAAAAACTCCTGGTTTCAAGAATGAGAACGACGTCCTTCATTTATTTGTCCAACTTTGACACTTTTGACTGTTTGAGCTTAAGTATTGATAGTCATTTATTTCTGTGTGCATATTACTTCTAAAAATATTTGTTTCAATATTACAGGATGATTTTGAAGCTGCCATAACTTACTACCACAAGGTGAGTTTTTATGTTCAGCCTTGTTGACTGTAAATGTTTTCATTGAGCTCTATCATCCAATAAGTTCGGGCAACAAAATGACTTTCTCTGTAAAATATATATTCACTGAAATCTCATTTTGTTTCCACGTCGTGTATAATCCATGGTTCCGTAACAAGGAACCAATAGAACAACAGACATGCTTCAAATTGGAACCAGCATATATTTCTTCAGTTTTATTATGCTTTTGTCAACAAGAGGTTGGAGTTGGACTAGGATTTTTCTTACATCTGCGTTTCTTTCAGGCTCTATGGTTGAAACCAGACGACCAGTTTTGCACTGACATGCTAACATTAGCTCTCGAGACCAGTTGCCAAAGCACCGCTCGGAGAAAATAGTTTAGGCATGATAGCTGTTTGCAAATTGCAAAAGCGCTGTTGTAACTTAAATGGGTGTTGCTCTGACATCAAATCCATTCATTTGTAGCCAATTGTTGTAAAGTCATATCTGTAGTATGTAATCGCTCTCAAGTTCATATGTAACCACCCAGACAGATTCTGGATTTGTGGTGCAATATTGAGATTTTGCTGAAATTTTCCAATGTAAATATTACAATTATTTTTAACAGGCAATGTCGTCCATGAATATCCTGTACTTTATTTTGTTACTTATTTCCCCCTTCTGTTGAGCAGTTATGTGGACCCTGACGCGGAATACTATCGTTTATTCGGGGGTTGACTAAAGTTCCGTTTGGGATATTGTGATTTCATTAATTAGCGTGGTAAGATGCATATAGATTTCCCTGCAAAAAAAAGAGATGCATATATATTCTTGTGCCCGTTTCCCTACTTTTGGATTCTTTTTGATACAACTTACCACATAGCACGTGGTTAGATTCTTGTGTCCTTGGTAAGACCTGTCAGTCTTGATGGTTCGATTTTGACTGAGTTCAGGTCAAACTGAAGGGGGTAATTTAGAGCCATTCTGAACAAAGAAGTAGCGCTAAGTGTGCTCACTAATTCCAGTCTCGTTGTGATTGAAACTTTTTCATCATGTGTTTTTTATCGTGTTCATCTTAAACGGTACGGTGCTGATTTCTGAAAGATTGCAATCTAACGGACGGGGTTTTGAATCTCCATCGTCTAGATTTCGGGTGAAAACCCGTCGTCCTTATAGCACCGCCCTTTTTATTGTGTGTGGATCTGGAAATGTTGTCTGTTTTCTACTAGGAGCCTTTCCATGGTGTGTCCAATTATGAAATCCCTTTTTCTGTTTTTAGGAGGCTGTCGGTGGTTGTGCCTTAGGACGCAAAACGCGAGTTCATTGATAATTAACTAACTACTAGCAGTAGTATAGTATACTATGGGCGTAACGAGATTTGATAATGCGGTCAGGCCAAAAAGGTGGTAAAGAGACTTGCACCAGACTCCTCCACCCGGGGGAGCCAGAGCGACCGACGCGTCGACCAAATTGTGGGTTCGCTAGCTGACCAATGCGCACAAAGGCGAGCCAATCGAGTGGCACATCGCCACCTTCCGCCACCACCCAACCCAACCCAACCCAACCATCACGAGAGAGAGAGAGTGAGGATAAAAAAAAAAAGAGAACGCCATCCGAGAAGGACCTGAGCCAAACCCACCCCGCGGCCAGAGGCCAGAGCCAGATCTCCTTCCATCCTTCCTTCCTCCTCCGGCGCCCTCTTCTATTTCTATTAAGAAGGAAGGAAAGCAAGCAGGGCGCCACTCAGATCTCTCCGCCCCT